AAGTGGGCTAGAAGTGAAGACCCGAAGACTGATCGAAGTACAAGGATCTGAGTACCCAATGATAGTATAAGATTAGAGTCAGTCCCATTGGGAAGTTCCAGAAGAAGAAGTTCCTTACCTTAAACTGACGATTTTTGGTTTGGCTGCTTTTTTTGCACATGCACAGCCCGCGGATCGAGTCCTGCTCAGGCTTATATAACCCTCCATCCTTTGGGCCAGGTCAAATAGAGACGGGGTTGTTTGAAAGGAGGAAGAAGCCACAAAGCACAAGTTTTCTTAAACCTTCCCCTATGCTGAATACACAATTGAAAGCCACTATGTTTCTCAGCGGGAGAAGAATACGCGGCGCATCCTGAGTAGGATCGATCAACCTGAGTATTTTATACTCTAACTCTCCAAAATAGTATGCGACCATTATCATTTCAGTACATATAGGTATGACTCTTAGAGTTGCAATTTCTGTGCCCATGAAGTATCAGAGTTAATCCTGGCAGCATATCGTTGAGCAACTCCTTACGATAGAAGACATGAGTGGTCCTTGGCGATGACCACCTGCGTTTATACTTTGACTTTTTTTGTAAAGTATAAACGCGACTCCCCCTTCGCTCTTATTTGACACTCAAAGTGCTAACTTTCAGAAACGAATGGGAGATTTACAATCTTTTATCAGTATCTTTTTCTATACAGAAAAAAAAGGTGAAAATGAAGAAAAAGGAGAAGAAAAAATAAAAAATCTTCAAAAAATTGGCAGAATTGTTTATTTAAGTGACTAGAACAATGCGCTACTGGTGTGAGACACGTCTTATTATTGAAGTAAATATACAACGAGTATTAAAGAATTATTAGACGAGTAAGAGAAATGGGTTATTAAGTGAAATGAAAAACAACGAGGCAACAATCTGTATGCACCACCGTAACAACATAATAAATTGGGCACTTAACAATCTAAATAGAGCTACAATGAAGGCAATAAATAAATATTATGAATCAAAACCGTTGCAGATCACTCAAATCCGTTATTGGAGTGGGTATTGGTGACTGTAAAAGAAAAACTTATTTGAAAAGCATAAAAATGAGTTAGTTCCTAAAAAATAAGTTCAGGTCCTTGAAGTTACCGCACAACTCT